AATTCATCAACAGCTTTATGGGATTGCTTCTTTGAGGTCCTTTCTCTCTGCCATTCCCTAGTACTTTTCAGTTTCCTGGGGCACCTCTTTTAGTCCTCTGTACAGAAAATGAAGGCTTTAGTTACATCACTCTGATGTGAAGTTTCACAACTGCACCCATGTCTAAGATCAAGTGTCAAGATGACATAGAAGAAAAATGCAGCACATTTGTTTCCACCCTTTTGGGACCACAGGGCCACCAAAATGGAGAGGAAAGTTTCATTCCCTCAGAATTTGATTTTCTTCTGGTACCTGTTCCACAGGCTGCCTCTGCTACTGTTGGATTGCTTGGGGGCTGAAGTATGGCCGAATTGAGAAAAGAAAGAAGGATTCCCATGTACATGAGGAGTTTCTTTTCTTATACCTCATACTAGAACTAGAGGGCTTTTCTGGATACCTCTCTTTCTGCCCCTTGGTGCCCATTTACATCATGTTCAATCTAGGGGATTTTGGAGAGGGAAAAATGGGCAACTCACCACTGGTTTGGCAGTCTTTTAGCCCAATCCTTCTGCCATTATTTACTTCTCAGTCTTCAAACAGTTGCTCCATGTGTTGTCTAGGTTTTATAGCTAGGGAGTAGTGACAGTGGTGTGTGCGTATTCCATCTTGCCCAGAACCAGAAACTGCCTATCATTATTTGCAAGTTGGCTGGCTACAGTAAAACAAACCTATAGCCATTGAGTCAATTCTGAGTCACGGTAACCCTATAGGACAGAGTAGAAGTGCTCCATAGGGTTTAATCTGTTCCAAGGTTGTAATCTTTATGGAAGCAGACTGCCACATCTCTCTCCCAGAGCAGCTAATGGGTTCCAGTGTGGACTTCTTGGTTCGCAGGCGAGTACTTTAACCACTGTGACACCAGGGCTCCTTGGCTAGAGTAAGGAATATAATTTTAGCAGTTCTTCTCAGATTTTATCTCTTCCACAAAATCATTCTGAGATCTCCTGCCAACACCCCTAATTTCCCTTTCCCACAGAACTTGTCACCTATTCCATATATTTTGACTCTTGGTCGTAATGAGGTGCTAAACTAAAATATAAGCCATTTCATGAAGGTTTTTAATAGCTTCATTTGCTGTTATGAATAATAGTGTAATATTAATTTACATTGATTTATTAAGGATAATAATAAGCTCCATATACTGAGTGCTTACTGTGACCTTGTCTCAACATCCCTTTCAGATAGGTAATGTCATTAGATCCATTTTATAACTGAGGAAACTGACATAGAGAATTTAAGTGACTTGTCCAGAGTTGGGAGCTCTGGTGGCATAGTGCCTAAGGCATTTGACTGCTAA